CCGTTTCATGTGGTAATGAGTTTTTATTTTACTGCGTCTGAGGTGAGCGCCCATCCCGTGAAGTGGTGATTCATTGAAGTAGACAATTAATTATTACTCAGCGGTTATTGCAGCATCGAGTGGTGCTTACAATTACGCCCGCGCTCTATTTGTTCATACGTGAAAACGGCCAGTTGCTTTGTTTACGATAGCAGTCAGTGATACCCTGATACCGTTATTATTTACAATATTACTTTATTAGTTGAAAGACGTGCGGAGTGATAATTATGGAGGGCCGGTGGACATCTGAGGAAGAAGGAAGAACATCGGAGCTTCAATACAACGCGTCTGTCTGGATATAAGGGCACGAAATACTCAAGCATGCACTCGTTTTAAGTATAGACCAAAAATACAACAGTAAAGTTCAATGGACCACAATAACACACTGATGCAGAAGATTCGAACAAATCAATGTTGCCAGATAAGCTGAGATCATCTAATCTTTTTCCCTGTTTCAAGCGATCACCACGCCGCGATCAGATCTCCGATGTTCATTATCATATCCTATCACGCGATTCGTCGTGAGAAATTCATAAGGTGTGGCTCTCGCAATGGACAAGGCGGCCTATTGCAAGGAGAGCGCCTGAGAACCAGAGCACTCCACTGACGATAAACGGTTGACAGTATCTTTACTCTACAAAAAAACTGCCAGTAACAATGAATTGTTAACACCCTTATACCTTGTCACCTTAGAGCCCCACACGCTTTTGTAGAAATGTGCACATACGCACACAATAGTTGAAAAAACACCAAAGTTAGCGCTTTTCTGAGCTATTGTCAAAAAATATTCAGGCAATATATATATATATATATATATATATATATATATATATATATATATATATATATATAAAGGACAATATTTTTGTATTGTTAATGGATCACATTAAAACGTGATTAGGCTAAACCGTAAGTCAACCCATAAGACCGCAACGGTTGGGTGTATTTACTAAAAGTATCTATATTGGCCTTTACCATAGTTCGGAGTCTGTAAACGATCATAGCGGCGAAATACGGTGCCATCGTACCGATCGCAGGAGGTTTTGGCTAACCTTTCGTTTCTGGCAGAAATCATTAGTTAATCGAGAAACCATCAATTTTGATTCGCTTTTGATTTAGCTCATCTTGTCGGGCATTCTCCTGATTTCCTCTCGGGTGGCCCCTCCTCCTGCTTTCAAAGCCGCTGTCGTTACCAAGCAGCTCACAATCTTCGGACGGCGATTGAAGCCATTGTTTGGTGCCATTACCACTAGCCGCTACTATTTCATATTCTACTATAAGACAAATAGTACGCTTATAGTGAGGCGTAAAAATACCCAAATCAAAAATGAATCAGTACGTTTACCGCATTAAATTGTCACTGAAAACATGATATTTCTTTCACCGTACGTTTCTGGGCCCTTTTGTTGTGCTCCATCGAGCAACCGACTGGGAAATGCTCAACGGCCATGTTCTATAGTTAGTAAGTATTCGAAACGCGGTTAGCCTTTTTTAATGGCGCGTGATTTCATTCAGTTAGCACAGACCTTGAAAAGTATCTCCACATAGAACTTTGCTTGGGCTGATGATGCTGGGATTTTCGCGGTATATTAAATTTTTACGAGAACTTAGAAGTAAGTGCTGTGTTTGAGGAATCATGTGAAATAAACAAACTAAAGTACACGGATCTACTACTTTAACTAGGCCGGCCCTCGCCCTATTGCTGCTACACGTTGACGCCCCTTTTGGAGCCGTCGGTCGGCACTTTTTTTATTGTGTCGACATACGTAGACAGTGGAATTACTAAACGCTTTTTTTTTAGCATCCGGATTGTTCCCCGGGTGACAGGGCGGCGACGCGTTTTGCCTTTGCGAGCATCTAGATTTGATACACCCCCACGTATCTAGCTAACACTCGTGTACGTAGTCATCTATTAAATATTTTAAAATTATTTCTTTCTTACTATTGGGCGAACGAAATAGAAACGAACGATCGTAGATTGTAATCCACTGTATTTGTTCGCCCAAGGAACAGCGTTGTTAATGATTATATCTTAAAAAATGTCTCTCTGTGTATCTCAAACATAAGAACCACAAGCTACTTGATGTTACCAAACAGTCGCTACGTGACCAAGCGTTCCTTTAATGTTTTACTCAATAAAAACAATCAGAAGAAACGAAATTTACTACCACTAAACGTGTTATTATTGTTATTTCGATGCCTATCCGCCGGCGTCAGCTACTGGAAAAAACATTGTATCTTTAGCTTTGCTGACGGACCTATTGGAGGATGTGATAGCTTCGACTGAACAATCGTTCATTGAAGAATCGAATGTATTCCTACCAACCTGGCAGGTTCACGCACGCATTGTCAGCCAGATACGAAACGCATTGTTAAAAGCTTCAATACTGCCATTTTCTTGCTATCGCTACGTCAATTTGTTCCCGAACTAGCACAAACGTTTCGTGGAAGGCAAGCCGGAAAAATACATCTAAATGATTGCCAATCACAATTATATCTTGAGTCTCTTCATCATCGTTCAGTTCTTGGCGGCAACATTGTGGACGATTGATTCTCGATCACGCTTCTCGTCGAGATAATGTTATTTCTATTGAGTATGACGGAACAGTTCAAAGTGAATGTTTATGCAATCGTCCAGGACTCCAGAATTCACCCATGATCGAGTCTCGATATTGTCCATTGTGGATGGTTTTGTTGGCACGACGATGATCAGTCATTGCATGCCGCCCACCGTTTCAGGAATACGAGTGCTTAGGCTGACGTGCGGAGATCATTAGGAGTTCGATAATCAGCTAAGTTAGTTAGGACAAAACGGCAAAGAAGCTATTGATCCTAAGAGGCCCGAGAGGACGTTTACTCATCCAATAGTCATGGCGGGAAGGTTTTAGATTCATTTAGCAAGGCAAACGCTGTCCGCTGTTAAGTACGATATGTAATGTAGGCATGTCGAACTAGCCAGTTCCATAAAATAAAACACGAACCCAATAAGCCGTAACGGAAACATACACTATAAGCAAAAGACACGTAAAGCGAACGAGCATGCTATCAACGTGAGTATTCACGCGGTCGTTCGTGTTAGCTTGTATTACTGCCATGTGCAAGAGCGCACTACCATTTAAGATTTCTGAGAACCGATGCTTATTGATAGATACTTGGTCGAAGTCAGCCACCCGTAGAAATGTGCTTGTGAATGAACACATTAAAATAACGCAGGTAGTCCCGATACCTACCCTTTCTCGAACTGTTATATTAACCTAGCGGGTAAAATAGGCCATCCGTTTTTTGTTCGATACCAGGGGCCTATATTGGACTGAGAATTCGACTCTGATATTCCTTTCATTGGCCCCTGTAAGCCAACGTTATACTCGAACGACATACAATGCTATACTATTATCTCGAATATCTGTCATCATCGATTGCAAACCTTGTGGATAGGCTTTTGCCCTGTACGAATATTAGGAAGTGTCTCCAAGAAGCGACAGTTGTAAAGACCTCATTGTCTATTAAACGAATCTCTGCGACCGATTTCTCCGGTAGCTATACGAACACTTGTCTCTTTTCTCTCGCGGGCGTTAGTTAGTCGCTAGCTATGATCTGGTGCATCACATAACGCACCGTGGCGATGACGGCTGATGTGGTACTACAGTCGAACCTACCGTCATCGTTGTCAGCAAGCCCTTGTCGATTATGAAATATTATTATAATATATGCATTCAAAATAACACAATAGCCAAAGAAATTTACGTACTTCGGGTTTACCCTATGACGTGATAATTAACACTGTTGCTGTTTCTACGGTGTCATATCGAAAGGGATTATTGGGTATCGAGGAAGGAAGGAAGGTATGGTGTACTACAGTTATGGGGGGGGGGGGGGGATCACCGGCGGAACTGCGGAGAACGACGCGGGGATTCAGCAGCGTATATGTGAAAATGATGAATGAAAAACAGACACTCTTCGGCAACAGCGGTCGTAGAACTGCTATACCTTTCGCGCCGCCAGCGATATTACCATCAACGTCGTTATGTATAAATACACCAACAAACCAACCAGTCATCTACATGTTTGTGTGTGTCTCTGTTTTTGGTGGGGCCTGAGTCGCCCAGAAAACGAAAGGGTGAAGGGGGCAACGAAATTACACAAAAGAAAGGTGGCTGTAAACGTGGGGTAGTCCCAGGTAGAATGCGCGCTTAACTTGTCAGATAAGCTGACTATTAGTTAAAAACAGCGACAGGAATAATAATAGTCGTACCGAGAATAACGGCGATAACGAAAGAGCGAGCACAAAGTTACACGGACTGTGTATAGCAACGAAAAACGGCTAATTACGGGCCAAGCAAGATACGTGTCCTTCAACATTTAACGCGAACAACATTGAACAGAAAAGTACTAAAATGCATGACTTCCCAGAGGGGTATGCTTTGTCACTATTCTTTCATAAATAGAAATTCGAGTTTGTGCCAAAGAGTGAAATTAACAACTTCAAATTGCCCCCTATAATGTTTTTTTAGTATATCGTTGTAAGTATGCTTAACTCATCACACATTTTCAGTTTGTTGAACGTCAATTTGTATTTCGTTCGAATGATTTTATGTTAACTTGAATTTCTCCGTAGGGCCGTTAGGCAGTCCATCAGACAGCTGGCCCCACGGATCAAAGCCAGATTCAAATCTAGACTATGAAGTATCTTTAAGACGTTAGCGTCTTTAATAGATTAGTGGGTAACATATTTGCTTGCCAGTTTCTAGGTTTGACTGTGTTTAGTGGAATGCCGAACGGTAATGCGGGACGTAAAATTCAAAACATAGAGATTTTATGCTAACCTATAAAATCTGTAACGTCTACTTGATACTTAATGTGCATTTTCTTCATTATATATAGCTCACGTAGTCAAACAAAGCGTATTAATTAATACCGCTTAGTCAAATAACAAAACTACGCGGCCGTTTTTCTCACTGCAGGATCATGTAACCTTACGTTGGGCATGATGTCTGGGGATATCCAGGATACCGACATCAGCTGTAGTTCGACCCATAATGCCGGCAGCGTTGGACCCGCCTTTGCCAGGTATGTAATAATGTTTTTCGCAGTGTTGTATTGTCAACGTGTTTGCTTTTATCTGAAGGAACATAAAGGTGGTCTGCTATTCGCTGTAAGCGTAGGCGTACTTTGATTCCTGAGCAAAAATCCGAGCAGTAGTTAAAGCGATGAATATAGTACGTAGTTATAATCCTTTCTCTTCTTGCACGCTTCCCCAGATCGCTCATAGTAAACCCCCTGCCATTTTGCATTGGCTAAACAGCTATATTGAGACCTATTGAAAACTTCTACAAGATATACTCTATAGAAAATGTACCGATTATAAGTATAACACAGTAGATGATTACTTTTACCAAAAACAGGTGGCTTTTCATCTATGAATGATAATGCGTTCATACGTACTTAGAAGGCTCTTCAAGGCTTATTTTCCAGTAAATCTTTCAAGATGTTGCTTGATTGAATCGCTAAACTATAACTCCCGTACAGTCTCCATTTATTAGGGAGTAATCTCGTCCAACGTGCCTCTCAGAACCTCTTTGAGAGATTTCGTAGCTTAATTGAAATAGGAAATATGCTCGAACAGGAAAGTATGTAAGTTCCATGTAAATCTCCAGATGACCAGGAACAGTTTAACCGCCCTAGTCAATGTCCCTAGTTTGTAGGTCAATCAGTTGGCGCGCTGATTAAAAAAATTCTGACAATTAATATGTTACCGTTTTTTCATAACTGCATGTACTTATGCAGGACCGCCACTAGCTTATCCCAACGAGCTTTGTTGACACGATTTCGTAATAGTCCCATTAGGATATGCAGTAGCTGAAGTAGCTTTAAGGGCCTCTAAGATGGCTTAGTTACTTTTAGCAGAAGCCAGAGATTAGTATCTTACATAATGTTGAGCATCGTTTATACTGGTTTTTCCCGTAGCTGCTTATCCCGTTATCGGGTAATTGACATTTATGTCGATACAAGCAAGGACTAACGATGCTGTTATTTTTATTGGCGCTTCGTGCATCCTGGCAAAATTTATGCCACTTCATGTTCAGTGTCAGGCGTCGGGCTATGAGTATAACTCTATGTGTAAGCATATGTATATATATAATATAAGTATATATAATTATACGTATAATAATAGAAAGGACTGCATCTACCTCATGCGCTTTAAATTAATTGGCAGAATTTAGGAAAAAAAAAGTTGAATCAATTTACGTATTTGTGATTTCACACACGCCGACAATCATAACTATACGTATCCTGATAGTGGTCAGTCTAATATGCCACTTAATATGTGCTATATTCTATTTAAAACATTTTATTTATCAGTATTCTTTTTATAGTTCGATAGCTGAAACGATTAGCTATTCTTTTTCTTCTTCATGCTGTTTCAGGTTAAATCGCGAGATCAACGGCGGGGCTTGGTGTCCTTCACAGCAGATCTCCCCAGACACCTACGAGTGGCTTGAGATTAATCTTCGTGGTTACCACATCGTGCGGGGAATCGCTACTCAGGGTCGCTTCGGCAACGGCCAAGGCCGAGAATATGCCGAGGAATACATGATTGAGTACTGGAGAGCCGGCATAAACAAATGGGTCCGGTATACCAATCGCAGCGGAAAGCATGTAAGTATTGGTCGATACTGGTTATGTGTTGGATTACTGAATAGTATAGGATGCAGTAGAAATCCTTTATGGTACTACCCATATAAATTAGGTTAGTTGATGTACCGAATACGGAAGCATTTTCAGAACTCTATGAATGTTTCCTCGAAATAAATCTTAGATCAACTTCTCCAATGAACTGTAATACTGGAAAAGTGCTAAATTGTTAGCGTTACAGTCCGCGAGTGTAGAAACGAGGGGGGGGGTGCCGTGGATCTTATCGGCAGCAAGCAGTTGCCTAAGCGGGAAAGTCTAGCTTGTTAGACGTAAGGGTGTGGGGGTAATCGGGCTTGTGGTCATTGTGTTGGGTGGAGGACCTATCCACCTCGGAGCTAATCGAGGGCGTGGCACAACTTCGTACTGCTTGTCTTGCCTCCGTGCTTGGGTTAAGGCTAGTGATCACTGAATGAAAAAGAGACAACGACTAGGGGCTGCGGCTGAAGATGGAAAAAACAGGGGATAGGCAAAAGACCCCTCTGTACGTTGCTCTAGCGTTCGCTCCCTTTGTTATAAGCTTTTTTCGTTTTCCTCTCTTTCTGTTCCTTTGTTTCTGTCTGCTTTTTTTCTCGCTTGGATGGAGTCAAATAGTGCAGAAGATGTTGGAACGAAGTCGATCCGCGCTTCCCAGTAATCGACATTACACATACAGAGACGCACACACGATTGCAGGATCTTAAGCGGACAAAAGGACGGAACATGCCTTTAGCAAGAGCCCTAACCAAAGCAGCCGGTGCGTTCTGTTCGCTGGGTCACAGCAGCCAGCGCTAACGTTGTCGCCGTCGCCGCCACCTCTCTAATACGTGCGGGGCGATAATTGTTCTATGTAAGATAGCTGTCCTGCACCTGATTAACGTGCATGCTACACAGTTGTTACGTCGTACGCACTGCGCTCTTTACGGCAGCATCAGCAACGTCCTGTGCGTCTTTACCGCTGCTGTTGTTTCTGAGCCAATCCCCTCCCTTATCGGTGTAATCGCTAATCTCATGATGGCTTTGCGGCTTCTGTCACCGCTGTGACTAGGTTATCTTCTTTCTGCGCAATTTACTCGGTCCGTTGACTCGCTACGACGATGTGTCGCAATCTAGCGATGAATTATGCACGACGAAGACAAGGTAGTTTGGTCAAATATCCACAAAACGTGGCCGCGCATGTCCAGAGAGAACGAGACAGAAGAGGAACCTTCGAAGGGAGTGCGTGAGAGATGAGCCTTACTGTGGGCCTGGTGGGGTACGGAGCAGTAGTAAGGAAAAGATGGCTGTCGGTAAACGAAAACGACGTCAAAGAGGCCAAACGGGATCCGGTCCTTTTGACATCATCTAACGTTAATGTAGAAATGGAGATTACGAGAACAGAGTGCGTACGCCATTTTGCATAGGCTTGCACAGTGACAAATATATATGTGACTAGGCCTCAATATTAGGCACAAGCCAACGGAGTTTGGGTGCATCCATCCGGTTTCAGCATGATACGCTCCCAAGAATCAGAAATATCGTCTCGATCGTGACGACAACTGCAATTCTAACTTCTAGCGGTTGTGCGATCTTTCTCGTCTCTTTTATTCGGAAGACGACATGGCTAAAGCAAGACGGAAGAGCAATCAAGGATCGCATACATGTACATGTGACCGGGATACTTTCTCGATAAACTAACTTGCACCGGTCATTTCAGAAAGGCTACTTTATGCGTAATGCAAAATATTACATTTCGCCCAGTGTACAGGATCACTGTATCTGCCATATTGTAGTATAGTAATTTTTTCTACCTTATCCAGATTAATGTGTGTGTTTTCACGTTGTGCGATGATAACGATTCAGCGCTGTACAGCGGCAGTGTGCTTATCGCCGACGCGCCTGTGGCCGCGTCCGTGTGCAGTCAAGCAATTAAACTAAAGCAGGTTTAGGCATAATCAACTTACGCTAATTGTGTTAATCATAATCTTTTCGTGCTCTCTTTATAGAGTTATCCATTTGTCAGTCCAATCTAATCGATGCCTTTTTCTCTGTAGGTGGAACTTTATAAAATTATACATGCAAGTTGCAGGTTATGAAAATTGATCATCACTTTTGAAGAGTGAAGCCGCAGTGAAAGAGAATTTTTATTAATATTGTTGCTATTATTATGACTTTTAATAGCTAAACTAACGGGTTCCAGGCGTCGTAGAGAGGACGTTCGACTGAACACCTGATCTTTAGTATATTAAGTTTTTACTAGCCTCTTGACATTTTTGCACACTTTTTTTTTGCTTAATTTCTTAGTGAAAACAGGGCTTTTTTTTAGAGATGTTATGATGCAGATGACTGCCACTGCTAGCACTTGCCGTTCTGCCGTTTCGAAAAGTCTTGAAATATCCAGTAGGCAGGCACAACAACGTTACTTGTTGGCCCTTTGAAGTTTCTAGACGACCAAGGAGTGCGCGTGGTAGGAGGCTATAGCGTCACTGAGACATTTGATATCTCTGATCGGTAGAGCGGATCGATCCGTTGTCAAATTGTCACTAATTGAATTGGAATACGCTGGACAATTGAGGCCTTCAATACCCCTGGACAAACAAGAAGTGATTATTGTGTGGTGGATTTATATTGTGACGATTTATTTTTCTCTCACTGTGTAAATAACCCTGATTTCCTCTGGAGTACAATATGCATCAGTATGCCGATAATCGCTTTTGTGTGTATAGACATTTTTTTTAGGAGTTTTTCGGTAATACTGTTTACGTATGGTTAAGCTCAGACGATTAGCCTTATTTTCGCCGAGACCACTAGTAGTCAGTTTACCTCTTATGCTTTACTACGCCAACCTGGCTCCCCAGTCAAAGCTACAAGAGCTTTATGGAAGGGAGTCGCATGTGTCTATCGGGCCAATTGGTTGAAACCATCCATCGAGTTTTCTGATTTCGTCGAACATGCTATGTCCTACACGCAGTGTGTCTCTTCGCGTTTGTAATAATAAATTAGCATCATCTACGTGCACATACCCTGCATGATTTTTTTGCGGAAATCTGCTTATTTTTGGTCAACCGACGTGTCCCTTTTGCCTCAGAACCATGCTAGTCATCGTCACCTTCAGCTGCCATTCACTTGTCGTGGCGCTGATAAACTCCATAAGGTAGGCAAGTACATCTCTCAAAGCTATGAAAGGATTTTTCGCGCGTGAATCATCTCTTCGCGGCTATTGCTTTGGGACTATTGTATTGTTGAAATGTTAGTTGCGTTTGGGCTAAAACAGATTAGCAAGGTGCGAGCAGCATCGTCCTCAACACATTGATCGCAGTGTATAGCAAGGACCTTGTAAATCCTGTGTAAGCAAGACTGGAAGTTCCCATGGCCCGCGGTGACCTGGCTCAAGTAACGGTCGACGTGGCGGGCCGACCTATCCAGCGACTTTGTGATATTTAGAATGAGATTACGCGTTCAAAATCCAGTCTTGTTTGTGGGGGGTTGCAGCCCACTCTACCTTACGGGCTGTAATCGTCTCTCTATTTTATCTTTCCTTTTCCTATGAACCTACGGGAGCATGTTTATAAAGTCGCCGATTTTTCTCCGTTTTTAAATTCCGGTGGTGTTACAACCAGGACCAGAACCGCTAACGTTTTAACTATTCGATACGCCTGCATGACGTGCAGAGCTGTCATCCTTTGTGGTTTGAGTCACAACGCAGCTCCGAACAGAGCTACAGACGAGCCGCTTGCATTTAATACCCTTGGCTCTTTGTAAAATGTTTTTCCAACCATCAATCGCAAACACGCTTAGTCTACTCCGATTGGTACGGTACTGTCAAAGATGTCTACTTGGGAAACGCTCTCGAGAGAGCGGGTTTCTATATCGAGCATAATTTAACTCTCAGATAAAATGGTCTAGAAATAGTTTTATGGAATTAACTTGCTATCCCTGGCCATATCGATGCCTACTAGCCCATGTGGAAAAATCCGTTTGGACAATAAATAGCCGAATGATGGATAAGTAAAATTTAAATCAAATACGCTGTGAAAAATGGTGCGTGCCTGCCTGCCTGCCTGCCTGCCACCCTTCTTCAGCTGGTTTGCAAAATTTGAATCTTATAAAATATGTCGTCGGAGTAAGTAGATTCAACAAATATTAGCCGATATCACGAGAAACATTCTTGGCCCTTTCTATTGTGTCTGGCATTTGGCACTCTTTGACTGTATCACACATGCGTGTTTTGAATCGACTACCATTACGTCGCCGCTGTTTTTTTCACGTCTAACGAAAATTGCAATATCTCTAGGGTAACTAAAATCACTTCCGCTTTCATATACTGACGAAAAGTAAGCGCTATGCAACAATATCAAGTATCAATAACAAAAATTAGGGAAAGGAACTGTAATATAGAAAATTGTAAAAGGCTTTTCTCTTCTTGGAAAGGTATTGAATGCCATCAACATAGTAGCAGTAGTAGTAAAAATAACTAGATAATAAGAGTAACAGAAAGCTCAAAATAAGTACTTTGTCGTTTGATATCGTAGTCAAAAACTAGTGTAATGAGGAGCGCATGCTATGCCGAATGCCCCAGCAATCAGAGGCTAGTAATTAGATAAACGTTACTAAATTTAGGAAAACTCATTGCCCTTTACAGAGAGAACGGATAATAAGACTGACTACAATTAGCTAAGCAGAAATGTTAGTGGACCTGAACTGCATTTGCAGCCATGTTTGGCAAAGCTTGCTTTCGTAGTTTCTATTCTAGTAGTCTGTATTTGAGTGGATTGAAGCCCATTTGTTGGGAAAGCCCCAGATTATTTACGTTTGTTATCCTTGTAACTAAATTTTGTGTCTTAAGTTTTCCAAGACAACTTGTCAGATTGTCAAATGTATCACGAATACCAAGAAGAAATAAGTAACCTAAAATCGATATTCTGCACGGATCCTCTTTAACTAATCATCGGTATGTAAGTTTTTTTTTAGCATTTTTAGTTTTTTTACGCGTCTAAATAAGCTTTTGGAATTTATTCGTTTTTAGGTATGACATCAGGGACTGGCCTCCGCTAAAAGTCTGACCAAGTTTCTCTGACAGATTTATAAAATGGCATTGCATTCATACGCGCAATAATTAATCTTAATAATATTTTTTATATTTCGGTTTCTTTTTAATTAGTGTTTCCCTAGGTATTAATTTGTGGTGATAATTTTTACCGGTAGGGGGATTTGAATTAGTGCTACAGCACACCTGTTAGCTACGGTTACCATGACAACGCAGCCAAAACGATGCACACTATACACCCGTACCAGGCCGCTTTCTTTGACAAGTGAATTTAAAAGCTAGAATAGTACTGCATTACTTTTTCTATCAGCCAAGGAAATTCCCGCTTATAACACCGTTTCCCATCTGTGTCATCGCGGAAGTTGATTGAGAGATCTAAAATATTACATTCATATGCAAAGTTACGGTAATTGAGCACCTGCTATGAGCGAGTCGGTCAGGAATAATTAATGCGGTGTCTCCGCATTAAAACACAGCGAAGACATAGCGTGTTACGCCGTATAAATCAACCTATTATTCATAATATTTTTTTGTAGAACGTGAAATTTCCATTGTGGCGTACATTTACCTATAAACAAACATATCTGCGTCTAATCTAGATGGGTTGGGGCAAAGCATTCCTGAAAATTTGGGTGGAAAGTCTCTATTAGCCTCTTGCTAGGTTAACAGACGCAAAATGAAGACTTTCAAACCCAAGTGACTTTTTAATATACATATATACACCTATTATGACCACCAGATGTCAACTGGCGGATCACTGCGCGCCGTGTCCCTTAGCAGCCAAAAGGACGGCAACGATAATGCAGACGCTTTCTGCTATGAACGGTTCGAACGATGCCAAATATTATTGCATTTCTAACGTACGCTATTAAACTTGTTGCTTTTAGATTTTGGAAGGTAACGAGAATACTTACACACCAGAATTTCGCAGTCTCGACCCGTATATTATCACCGATCGTATCCGAGTTGTGCCCTATTCAAGAGATATCCGCACCGTATGCATGCGGATCGAACTGTACGGCTGCAAATGGACCCGTAAGTATCCTGTTTATTTTATGGTCTCGTCGCGCATAATCCGCAAACTCTTCAATTATTAAACTTTCTGATAACAAAAAAAATAAATTGATCGTCAAAATTTTACAGCACGTCCAAATGTCTCTATAGCATATATGATTTTGTTTTAATCGTAAGTTTAATGCCTCAGCCTTCGTTGCGATGATGCTCGTTTGTCATAAAAAGTCAGCTGATAAATTATCAGACAAATATTCTCAGTTGGAGAAAGCGCGGCAAGTGAGCTAGCGCTGATCTGTTTTCTGAAGTCACTGATCCTTCAGATTCATTTTTTCTTTTTTGTTTGCCTAATCTGGCTTTGATGGAACGTAGTAATGATAAACCTATATTGGATAATGCTACGAGATTGATAAAATTTATGAAGGATCGACAGCTGATTAATAGCACAAGTTGTTGATATATGAATATTATATTAATATTGATCTATACTGACATACAAATAAAGAAAATAAGATTTGGGAAAATTAAAGTATCTACATTTTAAGTGCAGATTAAAATATGGCCGTATAAAACCGTATGTAAGATAATTTAACTTAAACAAATATTAGTTTGGAAAATAAGCCAGGGACTCGATTTCTAATAATCTTCAACTGAATAAAATATAATCTATTTACTAAGATTAGAATAAAAAGTTTTATACAACATTTGATAATATTTTATCTTAAGTTTACAAGTTTGACGTGCAGAGAACGTTTATAGTTACCCCTTTCATAAACAGATCTACAAACACCTGACATTCCGTTTAGAGATTCGTTCTTACGGCTTCGTTTTAGGGAAAATTTCTATATCACTTAGATTTTATTCAGGCTAGAAAATCCTATCCTGGGCCTTGATCAGACTACTCTGCTGTCCCCGCTATTAAGCTACATTTCAACAGCATGTTAGTACATGCTGATGTATCTATAGCTCTGAAGCTAAGCCATGTTCTGCCGGCTCGTGTACACGTCAGTTTATCGTACGCGCTCGGATGATGACCCCCACAGTGGTGACCCGCCTAACGATGCGTCGAATTTATACGCATCGTTAAATCATCTGACAAAGTTGCGGCATCGGTCTTCCTCCAACGCCATTCATTGCCGATGTACCCCTCATATAAATAAACGATAAGGTTCTAAAGCTCGATCGCGCAGTACTAGCTGTTAACTATCTGAAGAAATTTCGTCAACCGATTCTGCCAACCTCACAATTCCTTCAAAGTAATATAGCTGAGCGCAGTCATTACGGCAGGTGATGACGATCACGCACATGATGGCACATCTAGAGGGCAGTAATGAATTTCGGGAAAAGTCTGAATACTATAGGCGTATTATTGTCAAGTGGCTATGATACGTTCCATGATAATATATGTGGTTATCAAACGCCTTCACACGTGTGCGTATAATAATACAGGTGTACAGACATTAGATACATATACACACACGAGTATAGCCACGGTTGTACAAAGGGCAGTTCCGAGAAGATCTGAGCTACTAACTAATTCTTGTGTTACTATTACGCGTTATCATCGTAGAGGGTATCGTGTCGTACACCATACCGATGGGTGAACGATTTAGTTCTACCGTCGACCTATCCGACAAGACGTACGACGGAGGCCGAGATGACAGTACTCTCCATGACGGGCTCGGTCAATTGACGGACGGCATTGAAGGTGGCGATAACTTCAAGGCCGAGTATTCAAGTTCCCTCGGCCAGGGTTACGAATGGGTAGGCTGGCGGAATGACTCGCCCCACTCGAATCCACTCGAAATGGTGTTCGAGTTTGATAGTATTCGAAACTTCTCCGAAGCCTACTTCTACTGCAATAATCAGCACACTAAAGACGTATCGTTGTTCAGTTCAGCCAAATTTTGGTTTTCGATTGGCGGCCGCTGGTACATCGAGGAACCGTTGGTGTTCAAAAATATGCACAACCCTTTGCCAGAGAAAGCACGTAATGTCACCATTCGGTTACATCACAAAATCGGACGCTTCGTAAAGTTGCATCTATCGTATAGATCTGGCTGGATCTTGCTGAGTGAAATAGCATTTATCTCTCTACCGGCCGAGGGGAACTTTACTGAGGAAGAAGAACCTATTGGACCGCCAGTTGGTAAGTTAATACTATAGTAAACGCACTTGTCGTGAATAGGGAGCTATGTAAGAAAGTTTCGCCAATCAATACTTCAGTAAGACAAGCTTCTTCAAACCAGACAGACGAAATAGGTAGTGATACTATAATAACACGAGTGCAAATTAGATGGCAGAAGCAGCAGCAGCAGCAGCATCTGATATCACCACGACCGCGTGACAATTGCGTTTTCTTTTATAGGAAAGTGACTATTTAAAGTTGAAGCCCAAAGGCCCTTTGTTGTATTGGCTCTTTCCGTTGTCATGTGTTTTTAGTGAGCTATATTTATTTACGATGCCGACTGTGTTAAGTTATTGCGTAAAATATATCGTATAGTGGGTTTAAACTCGACTGGGCTCATAACCTTTCAAATCAAGTCGTCCGGTGTAGTTTACGTAATAAGCAACCTATGCACTATCTTTCGTGCGGCTCGATGCGTCTCTAACGTAATGACGTTTTCAGTTGATTGATCGTAGCAAAATACTAGACTTTCTTGTTAATTAATGATCGGTGATGCTTTGCAGTATTCCCAACCGTAACTGAGGATCCAATGGCTCGTCACCACATCGGTATCTTGATAGGCCTTCTGGCAGCAGTTATAATGTTGCTGATTCTCGTCATATTCATAATTACTGTCCGACATCGACAGCGCAAACACACGACGCCGCATGCCATCCTAAAACCCATGGCTGGTACAGGTGATAATCGTGTTACCATTAACATGAAGGATCTCGCACTTCAGTATCAGCCTAAATACGCGTTAAATGGTAACATATACGGCCAAGTAAATCTCGATGATCCCGACAAACTTCTCTACCAAGAACCAGCTGACTTCAAGACACCTATCTACCCAGCTACGTACAGCAATGGTAAGTTCGTTATGGACACATGGAGGGCATTTTTTATCACTAGAAAAAACAGCAAGCTCGCTTGTCTTTCTTTTCATCTCGGAACTATACTCTACCCAAAGCATCTGTTATTTTCTAGTCTAGATGAAACGTGTTGTGAGTAAGTTAACAAATGTCTAAGTTGAACGAGGATGGTATTAAATGCTCTGTCCGCTGCGCACAAAACAGTAAATATGACCTTTGTATGAAAAGTATTTTAAACTACTGAAAAAATCTTAAGTCTTCTTTGATATCAGAAATCTACTAATCAGTAATGCTAATGCAGCACTTTCAGTCAGTTTAAATTTAATATTCAACCACAGAGCTTAAGCAGCGTTATAAGCATGGTAACGCCGTCTCTGATTGCCCTGTCTATGTGACTAACTTCACCACCGTTCTTCGAATGCTTCCACACATTCACTAACACCTCCCATACATCGTGAACTTGTGTTGTCTGACAGTCGTTTTCCTAGCGGATTCCTCGCGTGAGTACGCCGTGCCTCAGGACATCACGACGCCCAGGAGCCCCAAAACACTTAACCGCAATGCTTCACCACCGACGTTCGGCCGCCCTTTGGCTAAAAGCTCCCAGCCGCTTGTACACAGCCCAAGTGAACAGCAGCAACAACAGCATTATTACGCTGCCACCGATGTGATAGTCGCGAGTGTACCCAACATTCAGGGAGTGAGTGGTAACACGGTCTACTCGGTACCCAGCCTCGATTTGTCGACCAGTTCGGCAAACTCGTCCGGGGACGATTCAGGTTCTGTAAGTAACTGCACACTACGAAACTCACCGCACCTATCCACGACGACGCAAGTGCGCGAAGTCCCACGACATCGAGTGCGGATCCTCGAGAAGATCGGTGAGGGTCAATACGGCGAAGTCCACCTAGCCGAGACCGAAGGTGAGTTGTGAAAGCCGTTCTTCTTTTTGCAAAGAATATTAAAAAAAAAAAAAAAAACAAAAAAAAAACGGTTTTAGCAGATTAGCAGAAACTTGTTGAATTCGCTGAGTTAGTTTTATACAATTTTGCAGGTATTACTGAACTGGTAGACGTGCCATCAACTTTTGGTAGCAAATCGTTTGTGGCGATAAAGTCTCTACGTATGAACGCCAGCGAATCTGCGCGTAAGGAGTTCTATAAAGAAGTGAAGATCCTTTCGCGCATTCGCGATCCAAACATCTCACACATCCTGGGCGTATGCACCAGAGATGAGCCCCTGTCGATGATCGTCGAGTATTCTGAGCATGGCGACCTCAACGAGTTCCTCAACGAGCACCTCCCTGACACGTTCGCTCCCACCGGTGCAACGAAAACGCTCAGTCATGGGACGCTCATCTTCATCGCTACCCAGATCGCCTCCGGTATGAAGTACCTCGAGTCGCTCAACTTTGTGCATCGTGACCTAGCCACGCGTAACTGTCTTGTAGGCGCCGGTTACACGGTCAAAATCTGCGATTTCGCCATGAGTCGGTCCGAGTATCAACATGATTACTATCGCATGCAGGGTGGCCGTAGCATGCTGCCGGTTCGGTGGATGTCATGGGAAGCCATCCTATTCGGACGCTTTTCGACCAAAAGTGACGTATGGGCGTTTGCCGTCACTCTGTGGGAGATGTTGACATTCGCGCGCCAAAAGCCGTTTACTAATTGTACAGATGACATCGTCGTCGAAAATGCGCGCCACCTGTATAATATGGATGGACGCGCTGTACAACTGAATCAGCCACCTGACTGTGCTAAAGAGATCTTCGATCTCATGCGTGAGTGTTGGCAACGCAACGAGTCAGACAGGCCTAACTTTAGGGAGATCCACTTGTTCTTGCAACGCAAGAACCTCGGTTACTCTCCACAAGCTTAGGAGCTGTTTGGGATTGATAGCGACGAAGACGATGGTGATTATAATGAACACGATAATCTAAATAAACAGCTAATTCACTGACCGATGACAAGTAGTTGCAGTGATGGCCACCCATCGATGCGTTCGTGAGATAGCAACAACAAACCTAATGAATAAGACATACTAACCTGTTATATAGATGAAAAAAAATCTATAATCTAGGGAAGTGACATTATGACAAAAGAAAAAAAAAGGGAGCGCCTGATGGAATGATAGTGGGAAACGCACGACGAAACGATGGAGATACAGAAAAGAGAAACTTCCGACGACCGATTTCAAACTACTCGTTTCTCTATCACAATCGACAAAAAAAAAAACGAGAAACATATACCTACTAAAGAGAAAATAGCAAAACGTATGATAAAAACAAAACGAAGAAATTTATGGGGATAAGCTAAACAAAAAACACTTTTTCTACTCATCTAAGTTACCTAACTGGATTGACAGAGATCTTGATGAGATGTTAACTAGTGTAACAGCGATACGGCAAATAGCATTGACAAACCGTTGTAAACCTAGAACGCTAGGTGACAAAACATAGCAAAATCGAATGCTGCACATTGATGACAAGAGTGTTAAAAGACGCAAAACTATTAATCACTACAGCAACAGAAACAGCAATGGAAAAAAAAGCAGCTAAGTAGATTTTGTCGTGTTCATTGAGTGAATGATAAAACGAGAGGGCAAAGCAGGCACAGAGAAAATGATGCTTGAAAGGATGCTTTAAAGAACAAAGTTACTTCTACGTTTCTTATTCCGTTCAATAGAAGGACGGAAGGAGACAGACGACTGGCTGAAAAAGGCAACCACTCGAAGACGACGTCAGAATATAGAAGATGTGTTGTACATATGTAAGAACTGCCTAACAAATATATACGGCGTCCTAGGCCGCATATCAGAAAAAAAAAACAACAGGAAGTAATAATTTGGTCCCGCCTGTAATAGTCCTATTTATTTTTTTGCACTCAGTATATTGATTACAGCAGGGATGGACACGTCACGCAGTCCCTATTACAGTTTAGCTGGGCTTTTATGTAATTATCTCATGTAATGAACATCATTTCTATTTTTTCGGCATTCCTATGCCGGCCTATCGACTGTTTGCTGTAAATACATTTTCGAAAACACAGCTGACCTGATAGAAGGCTTTTCGAGTTCCTACCGCGACGCCCGATTTCGAACCTTTTTAAAAGCAATATCGTGCAACCTCGCCACGGTCAGGGTCCAAACAGTAGTAATAAGATTTGCTGATTCCGCTCGAATGAATCCGACCCTTGAATATTGGATTGTCATGACCGCTGCTCATTGGCTGCGGCTTGTCATATCGGCCAGTCGATAATAATAAATTATAGCAAAATGAGCCGATTCATCCGATGAATCCAGTAAACGAAAGCAACCTAAATACATGCACACCCATACACATTTTCCGTGAAAGAGAGCACTATTTCTGATTTTCCTATGAACCGAACCGGACTACCCAGTACGACCAATTTAATAATAGGTGACAAAGGGACTGCAGGTGTCTCTCAAGTACGCGCAGATTCTCTCAAATATATGCATCTGTACAGTGATGTACGTATACCGTTATGCATCGCCTATCAGAAGTATATTCAGTGCTTCGTCGTGAGAGAAACAAATGTTTTGTTCAGTAAGAAAGCTACAACGGAAAAGTAAAGAAGAATAAAAAAAAAGTCAGTCGATTATTTAGGTAAGTGACCGAAAGCTCGACACCGTGTTGGATCAACGGGTCACTGCGAAGTTGCTCTTCTGCACAAATACAATACGACACTTACACCTTAACTCAGACGAAATGGATTTAGAAGCCAAACTCGGAAAAAAACTTGAGATATGGAAAAAGCGTTCACAAAGATGTGCGGGCAGCCCCTACTGCTAACTGAATTGACCGTGTGTGAACGCCTGACGCCTTCCTATGGGCGCTGTCCGGGCAGCAATCTGTGAACTGCTAACGCTTCAGGTTCTTAATCTCGTAAATAATAGTAAGTAGACTAGCATAAGAACAATGTTAGGTTCGCGGTAGACTAAGTGATAAAAATTAATGACACGATTAGTGGTTAGTAAGTTCCTGACATCTACTATCGATCACTCGGCGACTGTTTATAGCGTCACAAAAATAATAATAATAATAGTAAAAAAAAACAAACGCAGCGATGAGAGGAATAGCTATAAAAGCGTATGTACATTTTGTAAATAGTGAAAGGTTTTGGCTAGCGCCACTCGTCTGCGACGGCCCGGGAAGGCTGACATCAACAAAGAACAGAAGGAGAGCGACGAAACGATGACAAATAAAACGGAATATGAAAGAAAAACAAACATAGAAGCTAGCGTGTACAGTAAAATATTGAATAATATTAACAAAAAAAAAAAGAAGAAAATCAACCACGATAATAATAAATGGCGAGAGACTAATCAAAAGAAGCGTGTGTCATTTCAATGAAGAACGTGTCATCTTTATCATGGAACAGCAGTTTAAGTAATAGGTATCCAACGTTAGCCTTCACTTAACCTCCCCTAAATTACCTCTCATCTATGAGGTTTGAAGGGGACAGATAGCGTTACGCTAACCGTCAACGCTACACCACCGTTAGTCAGCTGAATAAATTAAGACGCATGCTTTATACAAATTATATGTTTGCCTAAAGCATATTTTATGTTGTGCAGCATTTATAGTATCAACGTGTGTAGTCTAAGATGCAAAAAGCGACTTTTCGTTGTTATACCTCTGCTGGCTTTTTTTCTCATGATTGTGGCTTCTTGCCGAATATAGCCGGACTAGGAGAAAAATAGCTTTGGAGTATATAATCGTCACTACAATAAGCGGATCAAGCAAACAAATACCTATCAGCCATCATCCTATAACACTGGCACGTAAACGTTAGTTGCAGGATTGACCAGCTTGTTTCCGTTTGTTGTAATCGCTACACTTTAGTATACACCGGAATCAGGCGACAGGATCCATCAGGTCTATTGCGGACCAACCCGGCATGGTGTGGCACAAACGTTCAGTATATTCTCTGTCAACGGGTATAATTTATACTCTGATTATGATGCGTTGCCAGACAAGATACGTAGAAGGATGTTCCATGGTTTGTTTCCTATCGCGACGTGTGATCCGTCCTTAGAATGCAGCTTCGTCCATTCTGCTTGCGCGTCCTGTTCCATTCTGGCCTGGACCACCGTAGTTTTCATTTTGACTCACGCTGGTCTGGTGAGTAAGCCCTTTCCATGCAGACTCTTAGTTAGACGCCGTCCACTTGAGACTGAAAGCATTGTAGCTCGGCTATACATCCTTACCCAGTCAGCAGTGCCTGATAGGATAGCTATGGTAGAGAGCTGACGTCTGAACGCCCAGACATCCTGGCTTAGCGTTGCAATAATGCTCAGATGAATTACGTAAATGCAGTGCGCGGAACTGAGCATTATGTGCCCCTCGGTGAGCCGAATAGCAAGGTGTGTGTGTGTGCGTGTGTGTGTGTATGTGCCTATAGCCTTCGTAGCCCTTCAATAAGGTTAAAGCCTACGTTTCTTTTCTTCGAAATGAATCAGTCAGGTAAGTCTCTTATTGCGCTCCTTTCGAAGAAGGTCACCGTGTCTCGCTTCTAAGTGTAAGGCCGGTCTGATTGACGATGGAGAACGCAAGTCGTTCCTTGAGCCTCATGAAACACGACAGCGTTGGGTGTAGATCCTGAAAAGACAAGTACAACGTACGCAAGAGTGGGGGGGGGGGGGGTACAGCGTAATTTTATCGTTTTGGTAAGAACGGACGCAATTGTTGTAGGTACAAGGGCTACCAGACACAGATCAAATGAGGACGGCGTCGATGAGTTTGCCTCTACTCATGCTGTATGGTGTCTCACGGACGAAACCCTTTGGGACTCTGCTAGTCAAAATTGGAACGGATGATTCGGCGTTACTGCTGGTTGGGCGCAATTTGACATGGAGGAAACTATTTGATTCAATCATATTAAGTATTCCGGTAACGTATGTTAGAAAATTCCGTATCATATACAATTCAAACAATAAGGTAGTAAAACACGTTTCACTAATTGTCTATATTACATCTGTAAATTCTCTGCAGATTCATCCAACAATATTAGTTGCGTAAACCAATAAATTGTCGCCAAATCCTTAATGAAACAACCGTTGGATAGCGATTAAAAATAATTTCAAACTATAGATAAAGACCGCGTGTGGTATTTACTGCCAGCATTGCCGGAAGCCGATCCCTTTTATCTAAGAGCATTTGTTTTTTTTTAGACTTTATTTTATTTTTTTTTGTTATTTAGATAGCACCAAACGAAGTGCAGCGGTACTGCAGTGTTCCATCCTCTATCCTGCCAACTCGATTTAATAACTAATAAATTTTTCTACAATGCTGTGCATTATCTTGTTTTAATGACTTTACCTCATTGTTTCAGTAATTCCGATACTGTACTTTATTTGTTCAGACATTTTAGCATTATGTGCATAATCATACTATGATCCAGTAGCATGTCTAACTAACCCGGTGCGCCTTCAACAACTCCAAGGTGAAGTTCATTTGAAACAAACGCCATGTGCATAGTGTTCGAAAAAGGAAGGCAGCACACACTTTTTAAAGTTAGCCATTTCTAGAAGAAAATATCTTTTTGATTCGATAATGACCGACAGATATTGAACTTAAATCTTTGCCGTGATAACTTCGATGCCCATCGGAATTGCTCAAGATCATCACGGCAAAGCACAATGTTTCTGCAATTCTCATTGATCTGTTTACTTTAGCCATTCACCAGTCACAATATGCTCTTAAGTTTATTTGAATTTACCATTTTTATTCCCGATTATACGATGCGTACGGTACGTGTGTATGTCAGTCTCCGAAACACTAGTTTCTAACTCTATAGCCTATCATATGACGCCGTAAAGGACATGCGAGCTAGAACAGCACCCGGCACGTTCTTTTCTTTTTCATTTTTTATTAATATTATCAGCACCCTCGTCACGTTTTTTCTTATTGACACAATTTGCTATGCCGCTAGTACAAAGCTATAATAACAGAAGCAGCAGTAACGGTGACACGTACTCGTATCACAACTATGTTAGCACATTGGTGTTTGTTTAAATTCACTGTGGCCGCTTTGTGTTATTCTATTATGAACAGGCTTTACCTTTATTTTTGTTTTTTTGTCGTTGACGTAGACAAAAGACGAACAAAACACAGAGATGACCAGACGGACTTAAAGCATAAAGTACATTCTGAAAGCGATTCTTTTCAATTTTGTTGATAGTACGGGGTATACCAATGCAAAATTGGTCGCCA